GGCTGGACTCGAACTGCTGTTGCTCAGAGCTCAAACTCTTGAGCGAGCTCTTAACCAACTGAGCCACTCGGCCGGCCCAGATAATGGAGGTTAATTTTGGTTAAGTGACTAATTAAATGAGGAGACAATATTTCTGGTAATCTTGCCCAGTCATTCCTCAGTTAAACAGTGCAAGAAATACAAATAAATAAGGAAACTATCCATCTTTTACATTAAACAAATTATACATCTCTGCTATACAGCACCTTACTGATCCATTTCAGAAAGACTAATTTTATTTTATTGGGTTTGCACCAGATAATACAGCTCATTTAGTATTCTTCCATCTTTGAAGTAGAACGTAATGTAAATGTGTAAACTGTCTAGTCCTTTTATGTCAGTACTATTTTCTTATGTTTTCCTTTATTGTATATGTTGGGAAATGAAAAACACTGAATTTCTTTTTTTTGCGGTTTTCAGACTCATGATAGTAAAGAGCATCTGGCAATGATGGAGCGAATATTAGGACCCATACCAACGCACATGATTCAGAAAACAAGGTATGCCTCAAGATTAAGAGGAAAGCCCTTTGTTGCAATCTTAAATTCAAACTACAGAAAACCCAACTTGGTTGTTACTGCTTGTCCCAAGGATTGCAGATCTTGAAGTTTTTTTTTGATAAAAGTCAAGATTTTAGAAAGTAATGTGATATATTTACCTGTGATCTAGTTAACAAAGTGGTGGTTTTTACACTGAAGTTAACCATTGCATACATGTTTTCCTTCATCAATGTATAAAGATAGTCCATAGAGTAATAAAAAGAGCTTGGCTTTGGAGTTACATCAGTCTAAGTTGGAATTCCATACTGTTGCTAAACCAGCTCTGTGTCCCTGGACAAAGCACACTGGAGTGGTTTTCAAACATAGCTGCACCTCAGAAGTCACCCAGGTTGTTTATCGATTTCCAGCCCACCCCAGCTCTAGGGAAATGAGAATTTATAGGAATGGATCCAAGAGCCTCTGTTTTTTATTTTATTTTATTTTATTTATTTATTTTTTNGGCAGCCCAGCTCCAGGTTGAGCTGTTGTTTAGCATCTTAGCTGTGGAAGGCAGTGTCACTGGCCCTCATATGTGGGATCCGAACCGGGGCCCTGTGGCATCCCAAGCGAGTTCTTAACCATCGCGCCACTCGGCCGGCCCTGGTCGGCCCATTTTTGAACAACTTAATCTTACGTGATCCTAAGAGGACAAACTGTTGGCTAAGTACATCACAGTAATGTGATTTTGCAGTGCTGTGGATATCTATTTCTGTGTCATTACAGAAGCATGGTGCTGGTAAAAATGCTAAAGGTTTTGCTAGCACATCTAAATGTAGGGTGGATGGAGGTCAAGAGGAAAAGAAAAAGGGGCTAGTCTAAGAAGAGAGCTTCTTTGTTACCCTTGACATGAGAAAGGCTGGAAAAGAAAATGAGTTAAGATGCAGAGTTTTAAAATAAGAAGGAACTCAGTAAGGGAGTGTACACTAAAATTTAAAAGAGACCAGGTCATGTTAATAGAGCTGGGAAGTCAGAGATGGGTTTGGGGGCTTGGAGACAATGGGAAAAGTTCAGCTCAGCTGCTGTGGGGAGACAGTTAAATGGAATAAGCTTATTGGCCAAAAATAAAGTCCAACTGAGATTGGATAGTAAAACATTTTTTATGAAATCAGTTTGCAGTTTTACATTTTTTGGTCCAACAGGACTTGGTAGTTCAGAGTAGGAGTGTGAAAGCAAACTAATGATGTTGACTTAACAGTAGAGGATTGGTGAAGGGGTAAGGAACGCAGTGCTGGCCAGTAGAACATCCCACAATGATGGAAATGTTTTAGGTCAGCACCGTCCAGTGTGGTAGCCATTAAGCACATGTGGGCTACTGTGTACTTGCAGTGTGGCTAATGTAACTGAGGAGCTGAATTTTAAATTTTATATTAATTTAAATTTCAGACTTAAATATATGTAGTGTGGCTTGTCTCTACCTCTGCCGAATTGGGCAGCACAGGTTTAGAGCTTATCTTTGAAATGGATGATAATAAGATTTCTGCTTAGTGTGGTGTGAAAGGAGCTGCTGTGTTACAGTAGTTTACAAAGAAAATTCATGGTTGAGGACTGAAGGTTACTATAAGGGTAAAAGAAGGGAGTGTTGGAAGAGATTGTGGACAGAGAGGAATTTTCAGATTAAAAGGAGAAAACCTCTTGGGTTTTATCAATTTAAAATTCAGATTTCCTCCACATTTTAACCTGGGGGAATACAACACAAAACAATTGGCATTTTTTCTTTGTTATTGGTACTTAAAACAGTGGTGTGTCTTACAGCTAATGGCCTCCTAGATTGGGTAAAATATAGTTCTTAGTAATAATGAAGTTCCAAGTGTGACCAGGCTACAGATACTTAGTAATAATGAAGTTCCAAGTGTGACCAGGCTACAGATAGTATTAAATTTGAAATTGGGTTATTGGCCTTGAGGAAAAGAAATCAGACAGGTAGATTAGAAGGGTCCTTTGTGTCTCTGGAGTGTTAATCCTGAGAGTTAAGGCAGAGTTGGGTAGGAGAGGAAGATGCAGTCAAGTGCTACACATGAGGGCAGTTGGTCTCCTGTCTCTGGTGTTGTAATAAACAGATAAAAGTTGGGAGAGGTTGGTGCAAGTGATACAGAATTCTAAAGAGTATGAGAACTGACTCACCAGAATGGGATGATTTAGAATGGGGCGCTGCAGGCTCCTGACCCCTGGGGAACAGCTGGACTGGGACATAGGAGTGACTGGAGAAGAAAACTTTCATCTTAGGTCCAAGCTCTGTAGTTGGCAGATTTTGTATATGTAAGTAGAAGCTGTTCTCATTAACCATTTGTTCAAATGGTAAGCGCTGTGGGTTTCTCAAAGTGACTAAATCACAGTCAAGGCCCTTGAATATATTGTTTCTTCCTTTATTCTTAAATTCAGGGATGTTACTGAAAGTCATTGAAGTATCTTTTAAAGTAGGTTTTATTTATATGTTATGTTTTACTAAATATTTGATCTTTAAAAGATTAAAATAGCTGTATGTTTTACTCTTTTCCTTTCCTTTCCAATGAAGTACAAGCTTACGCAGGCTAGGTGTTTCACTCCTCCCAGAGTAGTGTTGCCATGGAGAATTCTGAAGGAGAAAGTGTGTATGGTCATCTGTAGATGGCATGCATATATAGAGTCCTCTCTGTATGAGCTTGACATGGCCCTATAATTTTGCTTGTATGTGAAACTGCTTAATATTCATTATGGTTCTTATATAATTATGTAAGACTATATTGTTTTCTTTTACTGGAAGTAAACTCAGGCAACCAGCTGATAATTGATAAGGGATTATTTACAATCTGAGGATACTTGTCGACCGATATTTGCACTAATAAACATAAACTTCCCTGGAACAACCAAGAGCTGGTGTAATGGTGCTCCCATTGCACATGTAGTTCAGAGACTGGAATTTTCCACAACTTGCTAGTTACGCTTGGGAAATATTTGCTAGTCCCTCTTATTTTACATAACATGCCCCCTCCCCCAGGTTAAAGTACTGTAATTTGATCTAAGGATATGGAGGCCTGTGAGAACATACTGAATAATGTTTGATATAAAACTAAAAATGTAAACCCTGAATTTGCCATCATTCTCCCAAATGTGCTGTGTAAAGAGAGTGCTCACATAGAGAAGGATTTAGCATATTGTCAATTGAAAATTGTTGTGTAATAAAATGTTTGCTTTTGTTTTTAAATAGCTTTAGGTTGGTCTCAGCCTTGTGATGTTTGGAGCATAGGTTGCATTCTTATTGAATATTACCTTGGTTTCACAGTCTTTCAGGTATGTATTTAATAAATACCATTTAGGTAAATGTTAAAGTCATGTAAAATTTGGCTTCTATGTTGAAAAGTTGCGGTAGTTCCTTCATAAGATTAAAACTTAAATAGGCAAAATGGTTCATTATCGTCTAAAACCATAGTTGGATGAAATACTACTCAGTGGATGGTCATAGTTCATTTTACACGTGACTGGAGTTTTTTAACACATGGTTCATATTGTCTCATATTTCCATTTTTTGTTATGGAATTTCTTCATGAACTTTAATGTTTCTGAGGCCAGTTTTAATTCAGTTCTGGCTATATTGACTCAGTATGGCCATGAACAAGCCACTTGCCTCTTTTTATAAACTAATTCAGGAACAGTAAGTTGTGTTTTATTCTAAGTATTGATCACCTGTGACACCTAGGCACATTTCTAGGTTCTAAGTATATAAAAATGAAAAGACAACATCTCAAGGAAGTCATGTAAAAGATAGACATGGGAAAACTGTTACAGTGTAATGTGGTATTTGCTGTAATGGGTCAATGTGGAAAGTGTAGAGGGAACTCAGGAAAGGTGACCAGTTAGATTTCCTTAGAGAAGGCATCACGGAGGAGGTAGTGCTAGAAGGAAGAGGAGGAGTTTTTCGGAAAGCTAGAGTGTGGTGGCCATGTCAGGAGAAGAAACAGTATTGTAAATGGGTGCAGGTGTAAAGGAGCTTACTCTTAACAAGGAAGAAGAACGTAAACGGGAAAACGATGACAGTAGGCAGATTGATTGGCTCATAATGGACCTGTTAGCCATAGAAAGGTATTTTATCTTAAAGTGTCCCTTTTATGGAAGCCTTATTTAAGTCTGCACTTTTGCCCTCATAATTTTACTTCCATCTGAAATATAAACGTCTTGAAAACTAGGTGGTGCAGTCATTGAAGAACTTGAAGGAGGTCTGTGGTGTGATGAAGGTGTTGTGGTGTTTAGTGGTTGTGGGGTAGGGTTTGGGAGATTCTGACTCATACTGTCAGGGTTGGTTTGATGTTATGGCAGTATAGGGTGGGGAGGGAGCTATGATGAGTTCAGACTCCTTCAGGTGGCAATTGCAGAATGTACATGTTCACTGCTTGTGGGGCCCCCTCAGCAGGCTTGTGTTTCTGTCTAATCTGTAGAGAGCCTATGCAAAGCACCCTGAGTTTATAGAAAGTTTGGTATCTAGAATCATGGTTATTGGTGAGTTCTAGAAGGGCATGATGTCTGGTTTTGTGCTAGTAAGCTATAGGGTCAAGAAAACGTTGAGCAGAATGCACCCTTTCTTCGTAATGAATTTGTGGTTATATAAATCACTGAGGTCTTAAGTGAAGTGTAGATTATTACATTGGTTTGAGATGTGGTTTATATTTGGATTCCACCCCCCAAAATGCTCTTTGACTAAGGAAATTAAACTGGGGCTAGTATTTATTCCTGTCTTGAATTAAGTACTTAATGTTTTGAAAGCATAGTCGATAGCTTTTAAAAAGCATTACACACAGTGTCTGCGCTCCAGAACAGAGGTTGCTCCAGAACAAAGGTTGGCAAACTATATCCTGCCTGATGCCTGAAAAGACTGCGACAAAGACCATTTGTGACCAGCCAAGCCTAAAATATTTACACTCTGGCCTTTTACAGAAAAAGTGTGCCAACTTCTGCTCTAGGAGCATACCATTTTATTTTATTTTATTTTATTTTATTTATTTATTTTTTAAAGCTGAGCCATCCTGCCACCTGTTGGCAGCTCAGCGGCTGCTCAGCTCGGGCTGGGAATCGAACCACTGTTGCTCAGAGCTCAAACTCTTGAGTGAGCTCTTAACCAACTGAGCCACTCGGCCGGCCCGAGCAAGAGAAGTGTGTGACACTTCCTGTTCTGCTTTAGCCAGAGCCGTGACTGTATAGTTTACGAATCAGCTTTGACTTGGGTTCTTAGCTCAGCTTGCTTCATTGATGAGCTGTGTGACCTTGAGCCAGTGTATTGTAAGCTCTTTGCAACTCATGTTCCCACATACCTAGCTCAGGGTTGTGAGAATTATTGGGACTGTATTTTTATTGCCTAGGATTATTAAGTGTTTATATGTTGCTATTCATTAGATAATGGAGGTGTTTTG